TGATTTTGTTAATTCTTCTGAAGAATCAGCTCTTGGCTTTGTTGATTTTCTCTGTTTTTCTACTTTTTCTTTATCTCTGTTCTAATCTTTATTATTTCTTGCCATCTGCTAGCTTTGAGTTTAGTTTGTTCTTCTTCCCCTAGTTCCCTAAGTTTTAAAGTAAGGTTGCTGATTTGAAATCTTTTTTTTTTTTTTTTTAATGTGAGCATTCACAACTATACATTTCCCACTGAGTACTACTTCTGCTGTGTTCCATAAGCTTTGATGTGTTGTGTTTTCATTATTATGCCTCTGTATGTATTTTCTCATTTCCCCCGTTATTTCTCCCGTAACCCATGGGTTTAGAGTGTGTTGTTTAATTTTCACATATTCTTGGATTTTCTAGTTTTCCTTCTGTTACTCATTTCTAACTTAATCCCACTGTGGTCAGGAGAAGATACTTTGTATGATATCTTTTAAATCTGTTGAGATTTAATCTGTAGCCTAAGATATGTTATATCCTGGAGAACGTCCCATGTGCACTTGTAAATAAGGACTATTCTGTTGTTGTTGTGGAGGGTTCTGTATATCTGTTAGATTGAATTGGTTTACCATGTTTGTCCAAGTCCTCTAGTTCCTTCTTTATTTTCTGTCTTGTTGTCCTATCTGCTATGGACAGTGGGGCGGGGGGCAGTTTGAAGTCTCTATTATTACATAACTGTGTATTTCTCCCTTCAATTTTACCGATTTCTGCTTCACATATTTTGATGGTCTGTTATTAGATGCAAAAAGACTTAACAATGTTATATTTTTCTTGCTGTATTGAAAGTTTTTTTTTTAATATATGGATCCTTCTTTGTTCTTTTGATTAAAGTCTAGTTTGTGTGATATTACTATAGCCACTTCTGCTTTCTTATGGTTACTATTTGCATGGGGTATCTTTTTCCATCCTTTTGTTTTCAACTTATTTGTGTCTTTGGCTCTAAAGTGAGTCTCTTGTAGACAGCATATAGTTGGATATATATTTTAATCCATCCTGCTGATCTTTTTAAGATTTTACTTATTTGACAGAGAGAGAGCACAAGCAGGGAGAGAGGCAGGCTCCCCGCTGAGCAGGGAGCTCGAAGTGGGACTCGATCCCAGGACCCTGGGATCAGGACCTGAGCCAAAGGCAGATGCTCAACGGACTGAGCCACCCAGGCGCCCTCATCCTGCTGATCTTTTCACTGGAGAATTCAATCCATTTGCATTTAAGATAATTACTGATAAGGAGGGACTTACTTCTGTATTTTACTATTTGTTTTCAATATGCTTTTTGTCCCTCATTTCCCACATTACTTTTTTGTGTTTAGTTGATTTTTTTATAGTGAAACTTTTTAATTCCTTTCTCTTTTTTTCTTTTATTATTTTTCTTTTTAGAGAGAAAGAGAGAGTGAGTGGAGGGAGGGGCAGAAAGACAGGGAGAAAGAGAATCTCAAGGAGGCTCCTCCACACCCAGCTCAGAGCCCAACGTGGGGCTCAATCTCACAACCCTTGAGATCATGACCTGAGCCGAAATCAAGAATCGGACACTTAACCAACTGAGCCACCCAGGTGCTCCTCCTTTCTTGTTTTCTTTTGTGTATATTCTGTAGCTATTTTCTTTGTGGTTACTATGGGGATTACACTTAACATCCTAAAGTTATAATACTCTAAGTTGAATTTATACCAGCCTAAATTCAATAGCATAAAAAAAATCTCTGCAGCAAGATGGCTCTTAAGAAGCAAATAAATGTGTAATTGTAACTCAAGATAAGGGCCAAGCACAAAAGCAGACTGCTATGATAAAGAAAACAGGTTGGCCTTTTCAGAGGGGTCAGCAAGGAGAGCCGCTCTGAGGGGACATTTACCCAGAGCCCTCAAAGACAGAGAAAGCTAGCTTGATAAGGAGTGGGGAGAAGAGCATTCCTGACAAAGAGAGACCACGAGTCACAGAAGAGCTTGGGGCACCTAAGAAACAGGGACCCACATGGCAGGAGTTCAGTGTTGATGTGGGGAAGGGAATCAAGTCCAGGAGAAGCAGGTGGTCCCGGTTCCACAGCCTGGGAGGGCCGTGCAGAACAGGGGGCACGCCCCATCAAGTGCACAGGAAGCCACAGAAGGGCTTAGCGCTGCTAAGTAACAAAGTCCTAATTCTGTTGGATGAAGCTCTTGCTGGCTATTCTCTGGCAAGGAATCAAGAGGGAAGAAAATGAACGTGAGGAGCCCAACAAAGCAGCTCCTGCAGTTTCCAAGGCCAGAGATAACGATGGGCAGTCCAGGGTGGAGATGGAGAGAAACAACGGGCCCCAGACAGGCCTGTGACCTTGAACAGGTGAGACAGGAGTCCCTCAGCCCTGGCTCTGAGTGCCTGCCCTGCCGTGTCCTCGCTCACTGGCTCTGCACCTTGACTATGGCACTCCCCACAAGCTTCTATTTCCTTCTCTGTAAGATGGGAATATGATGAAATCCACCAGGTATGAGGAGGAGAAATAACCCAGCTACTCATCACAGATGTGCACTCCTTTCCTTCCTCTCAGACACGTGCCTCTGGTCGGTGCTGATCTAATTCACACACACATCACAACCATGAGAGGCTATGAAAATTGTAAGCAAACACGTGACACCCAATTCGCCCAGCTTTGAACATGTTACCAAGTCCCTATGAGTGCCCAGGCCTGCCTTGGGGACAGGAGCCTGTCTAGATTTAGCCTCAAGGGTCCAAGCAGCAAGCGTGGATGGGCAGGTCTCTACCCAGAGGATGTTCGCACCCAATGATGCTGCTTCCTGCAGCCTGGAGAGAAACACGTTGCAAGGAAGGTAGCAACTGCTCCAGCAGATTCCCTTCCAAATCCACCGAAGCTAGGGAAACAGAGCCAGCTCAATCCTGCAGGTCCCCAGTAAACACTCTGACAGGAGAGAAGTGAGCTGGTTGGCCTCACCTCCCTGTTCACTCCACCTGGAAACCTGTCTAATGACAGGGCTCCTCATCCCAACCACAATCCTTTCCCATCCTCCTGGCTTAAAGAAGATCTCACTTCCTAACGGAAATCCCTAGGCTAAAACAGCCACAGGAAGAACAGAATTCTTTGGATTTTCAAAACTAGGGTTTGAGGACCTGGAGGATGGTAGTGGTAGAGGGTGGTCTTGTTCAAAACAAGGTACCATGTCTGCATACAACTTGTCTTTAAGTTTTCTGAATGGCAACCCACCACGAGAGCCACAGAAACCAGCTCCCGGTGAGTCTGTGTAAGTGGGTCAGGAGACTCTGCTCTCATTTGCTTTCTGGCCTCATTAGACTGGCCAAGAAACCCCACCGGAGGTGACCGGAGGGTTCGGTATTAGCGTACACATGCCAGATGCCCTTCACCACAGTGGCCCCGCTCTTACTGGGTAGGCCTCATCAGGAAACATCTAAATCCCAATTTAATGGGGTTGGCCCCAGATCTGCCCTCGGCAATGGGATCCGGAGCCTCCAACGTCTTCATCCAAGCAGCAGAAGGGGAGTGAAGAGTGTTGAATGAAAGCCAAGCATGGGGACCACTGGGTCCCTGTCCTTCCGTCTTACAGCCGTGGGGGGCTTGGGGGCTACATCGCCACATCCCACCCCCTCCCTGCCTGTGATACAACAGCTGCCCCTGCCCTGATGATAAAATTATGAAAACAAATGTCAAAGCGTAAGCTTTGCCTCATTACTGCTTGTGCTGCTGTAATGAGTGTTTATTCCTGGCACTTGTGCTTTGGACAATTAAAAAACATAAATGAGATGAAATGAACTACAGAGGACAGAGTCTGCTGTGGAGCCAGCCCCACCAGCCCTCCTCCCAGGTGTCCTCTGGGCAGACGGAGGCACAGCAACCCGTCATTAAGCAGCCACCAGGAGGACTCAGGTTTGTGCAGACGAAGAACACATATTTCTCAGAGACCAGGGCCAGTACTTCCTCCTCCCCGAGTGAGCCTCCCCTCCCTCCAACACTACCCATTTCCAATGCCCCTTCTTGCCTTTTCCCACTCCAGTGCCCTCCCTGAGCACAGCAGCTGGGGCTGTCCCTGCCCCCACTTTGAGCAGCCCCACTCCTCAGGACGCCCTCCCCACCTGCCCCTGTCCAGAGTCCACCCACACCCCTCAGGCTCCCCCACTCCCTCCTGCGGCCAGGCCACACCACCTGCCCTCCCACAAACGCAGCTCCTACCACACCCCCTGCCCCACCAGCCACCCCTCCCCCGATCTTGCAAACTCTTACTCTTCTCCCTCTCAAAGGTCAGCTCTCGCCGGGAGACTCCACGCTGTGGGATGATCACTCAGCAGCCTTCCACCTGGCCCCCAGCGGTCCCTGCCCATATTTCTACTAGAACACGGGTGTTTTATCTGTCTGCCAATACCACTGCCTTCCAAGGGAAAGACCAGCTCTGTTTTGCACCTGTATCCCCAACACCTTAACACAATGCCAAGGATGCTCAAAAAAATGCTCGTTAGGAGAGTGGATGGATGGGTGGAGTGGGGGATGCATGCAAAAGTCTTTCCGTGTCTAAACTTTGAGGGGTGCAGCCCCTCCCCCCACCAGTCATGTGGTTTCCTGCTATCCCCATTCATCAAATCAGAGGTAGACACTGGCTTCATGGCTCCTTCCCTCTACCCACAACCAGACAACCTCTCCCCCCACTGTCCTTCAGCCCTCACGGCACATGGCAAGAGCTGATTCACATTCAAGTGTGATCCTGATTCCTTCTACTAGACCATTGACTCCTTTGAATAGGGACTGACCTGCTCAACTTGGAATCCCCCTGGGACGGGGCCTGGCACTTAGGAACGGTCTTGGCAAACCGCTGGTAAGGAATGGCAGGCAGGGCAACCACTGAGCAGACCCCCGAGCTGAAAGTACACACAAGGGCAGGGTCGGCGGCTGGGCCCTCTCCCGTGGGACAGGGCTGTGTCTCCATCCCCCAGCCTGGGGAAAAGACAAGGACAGAGCACTCATCCAGGACCCCGATGGGAGACTCACCATGTTCATGACGGTGAGGATGAACCTCTGGGCGGCCTCTGCCCCGTGGTACTGCACCATGTCGGCATCAGCCACCACCAGCGTCTCCACCGTGTGCTCGCTGGTCAGCTGGATGGCGTTCCTCCGCTCCCGCCAGTCCTGGGATGGCCTGCCCTTCCTTGGCTTCTTCTTTTCTAGAAAATGACAGAGACATCCATGCAGGCCTTGGCATTTTGATTTCCAAAACCATACAGTGAAGCGGCCTCCTGCTCAGCCTCCCACAGAGAATGGTCAATCTCCAGGGGCCAGGAGAACTGGACCTCCACCATAATGGTGGGGGTGGGGGGGATCCTGAGCTCACTTCCTACAGGGGGAGCTGAGGGGCAGAAGGGGGCTCACACCTGTCCACATCGCAGCTGGGGAGGCCAATGGGACTGAATATCAGGGAAGAGAAAACCTGCCCCATCAGGGGAGAGCGGCCAGCCGTGCAAAGTCAGCGGAGGGAAAGGAAGCCCAGACCCACTGGGGAGAGATCAGAAAGCGCCTCAGGTTAATGGCAGAGACCCGGCAAGCTTTCTGAAAGGGCTAACCCCACTGTCAACAGCTGGGACCCGGGGAGGTGGCACTCTGGCCGCTGTTCTGACAGTCACGAATAAGGACCCATAAACATTAATAATCACAACAAAGCATTATTTCAAAGAAAAACAAAACATCATCAGAAAAGACAATCACATGACACGCACATCCCAGCCAAGACAGGTCCTTTCGTCAACCCAGGGAAGGATCGTCGGTAATCCTCTGCTGACTCTTTAGATAAACTGATTCCCTATCAGATCTGACTTGGATAAGCAGTAGTTGTTATCAATTAGAGCCCAAATCAGAGTGTCTGGGCAACTCCAAGCTGCTAGGTTAGGGTGACGTAGGCTTTGCTGATGAAAACCCCTCTGGCGAACGCTAAAGGCCGATATGAATAGCACGCATTTTCAGGATCCAAATGTGTGGAAATAGAAGGCACTTCTTAAATTTGATAACTATTATTTCCATTTTGAGCACTAGACCCGAGAGAGATGACAGGTGTCATCTCTGCTACAATTTCCACACAGCAAACCCAGCCTCCATATGCACAAACCGGCTTCATAGAGTGACCTGATCCTTCCAGAGCCAAAAAAGCACACTGTGAAACAGCCTGAGGTACGGGTCATCATTGAACAAACAAGAATACTCTGTACCATATAATTTACAACTGTGAAAACCAAAAAGCAATCTAAGTATCCAACCGCAGAGAAAGCCAGCCATGGTAAAACGGTTTGCAGCAGGAAAGGCACGTTTGTGACGATTACTTAGCAACACAGAGGCAAAACTAAATCTGTATCTATAGTTAAATTGCAATTTTGCAAAGATTTAGCACACAAGTACCCTTGGGCCCCCAAAGGGAATAAATAAATTAAGTAGACAGACAGATAACCAACATAGGTAGAACGTAACTAAAACGTGAATGGCAGGGGTATGTGATCTTCGTTTTCCTTTTTTTCTCTGTATTTTCCAAGTGTATACAATGAACCAGAATTACTTTATTTAAAATAATGATGTTGAGTTTGAGAAAAACACAGATGTCACTTTTACACTCTCCACAACAATACAGAAGGCATAGGGAGCTAAGTATGTTATCTGATGAGCTGCAGAAATGCAAGATGAAAAGCATGAATGTGTTGGTCCTGTCTCCCCTCACCCAGAGCCAGGTCCACCTCCCATCAAGACTTCTGGGCCTCAGCAGTGGAATGAGGGAAGAGTCCATGTTAAGACGAAAGGCCAGGTCTCCGGTGGCACTGCCTTACACATGGGCAGAATGAAGAGGCCGCTTGTCCAAGGTCTCTTTATAAACCTACACCCACGTTCAGCAACCCATCCATCTCTGACCATGAGGAAGGAGGCACAGGGGTGATTTCCACATTCTGGGCTCAGGGTGCTTGCTTGCCAGGTGCTCCCTGCCTGGATCAGGCTGACCTGTCCCACCTGGATTTTGTAACAAACCATCTTGCTCCAATTTCAACGCAGTGAAAGTGAAGGGCCACCCAAGTAAGTGTTCTGTTGTCATGGGCACAACCACGTTCTCCCAGCCACGTGGTGCTGCTGGTCCAACTCCTATTCTCATCTGCAGATTTCCCACGAAGTGGGCTGCTCAGCACTTACTTTTGCAAAGTGTCCTTTGTTTTCAGGTTCTTGTGTGGAAAGAGCTATATTTTTGGCAAGGTCCAGAGGACACATTAGCAATCTCTGCCCGGAAGATGGTGAACTTGGACCATGTGAGCTGAGCAGTCTCTGAAAGAAGTAGCCCATCACTCCCAGACCAGATCAACATGCTGCACTGGGGGGCGCCAGGGTGGCTCAGTCAGTTAAGCATCTGCCTTTGGCTTAGGTCACGATCCCAGGGTCCTGGGATCGAGCCCCACATCGGACTCCCTGCTCGGAGGGGAGCCTGCTTCTCCCTCTCCCTCTGCTCATGCTCGCTTGCTCACTCTCTCTCTCATAAATAAAATCTTTAAAAAAATACTGCCCTGGGCATCATCCTTTAAGTACAAAGTAGGACTAATAAGACTGACCTCTCCCTCCCTGATGGACCACAGAGAGCTAATAAACAGGGTGTCCTACAGGGTGAAATGCTATGGGTTGACACGTGCCCAGAATACTAATAGGTAAAACACAATGGTCAGGAGCTCTGGGTTGTGTTTTTTTTAATTTTTTAATTTTTTGCTCTGTGGTTTTTAAAGGATTTTCACTACAACTATCCCATGTAGTTCTCTTCATGGTCCCCAACCCCTGGCCTAGCACTTGGTGTGGCATGAAATTCACTAGACAAATGCACCCACGGATGGCTGGGTGGGTGGGTGAGTGAGTGAGTGGAATCCCTGTTTCCCACATCACAAAGCCGAAGTCAAGCACTAGGCAGTGGAGATTTCGGCCCTAGAACCCAAAGCTTCCCCCACTCTGCTCTGGCTCTCCCCACCTCCTCTGCCCGTGTGTGCCAACAGGCTCCTCACTGCCCTCTGAGCATCAAACCTAACAGTAGGAGGGCCGAAGAAAGCTCAGCAGGAAAGGGTTCTGGATTGAGCATCACGAAATCGATGCTGCTGCTGGTGCAGGACCTACCCAGGAAGACGGGGCAGAGATCTTCTGAGCAGCTCCCACTGACCATGCTCCTTCTGCTCGGAGGGTCTCTAGCTTGTTCCAGGCCCTCCAGCAGCTATGGGGTAATTATCCTTCCCAGCTGCCCGGGGCCAGTCGCAAGGCTGTCTGCACTCCCCTCACTGAGCATTGTTACTTGGGGCTGTCAGGCCAGAACCACGCTAGGCTGGCTGGTGACGCGCACCCCGGCGCTCTGTCCTGCCCCTACACTCAAGGGAAGAGGCCGGAAGCCTTGATTCAAACCCCTGTGGCCAGATGGGTTTCAGGAATTCAGAATTTTTCAGATTTTGCAAGGCAATCCAGTGGGCATGCCATATACCGAATACCACTTTCAAATGAGGTCTGGGGCAGCAAGCTGTTATCAAAAGGCACTACTATTTCTGCAGCGAAATGAATAAATGGGGGGGTCAAGAAAGATGCTTGGCAACCTCACGTCAGGGCAGGGCAGGCCTTCCACATAACGAGTGTCAAAGGTCTTGGATTTGGTGGAGCACTTGGGTAGCTTAGTGGGTTAAGCGTCTGCCTTCGGCTCAGGTCACGGTCAGGGCCCTGGGATCGAGACCCCCGTCAGGCTCCCTGTCAGCGGGAAGCCTGCTTCTCCCTCTGCCACTCCCCCTGCTTGTGCTTACTGTCTACATAACAAATAAATAAATAAAATCTTAAAAAAATAATCCTGGATTTGGAATTGCAGGTTAAGAGACCAAGGACCAATATTCCCTGTCTCGATGCCCCTGTCCTTCCTGGGGGTAGTGGCAGAGAGGAACAGGGGGGTGGAGGAAAGCTTGCTTCCTCCCTGCTCCTCACTCTTATCAACCACCCCACCAGCAGCTCCACGCCCATCACCTCTGATGGCTAGTCCTTCCCTATGGCGAGAACAGAACCGTAATACATTTTTACCTTTAACTCCACAAACTGTGTACGTACACCTTAACAGACAATATCTGTCAACACCAATATTCACAGATTATAAACATCTTGAAAAGTAAGCAGAAAAACACTAATTTCGGAATAACAAGGGTGCTGGATCCAGACCTCACCGGAGAAGTCAAAGTTCAGGCTGGGCAGGTGTGCAGCCATCTGGAGGGCCCTCCACGCTGGGCTCCGGAGTCTGCTGTCTCCAGCCACTGTGGGAACAAGGGAGGCGGCCCTCACCCCACTGATGAGGACAGACCACAGCCGGTGGGGCTCCAGGCCCTCTCCTGCTGTTACAGACACCAGCAATCATTCCAAGTCCACCCTGTGGTCTCGTTTGCCAGCACATTGCTGGAGTTGGCGCTGACTTGGTAGATTTTCAATTTCCGGCTTCATATTATTTTTTCTTACATTTATTTTCCCTTTGCTCCAATTATCCATTAAAAAAGAAAATTCAGGGGGCGCCTGGGTGGCTTAGTCAGTGAATCATCTGCCTTCAGCTCAGGTCATGATCCTGGAGTCCCAGGATCGAGGCCTGCATCAGGCTCCCTGCTCAGCGGAGAGCCTGCTTCTCCCTCTGCCCCTCACCTTGCTCATTTTCTCTCTCTCTCTCTTTCTCAAATAAAAAAAAAAAAAAATCTTAAAAAAAAATTCTATGTATTTATGTAAGATATCCCAACTTTTTTTTTAGAACAAGAGGAGAAAGAGAAAAACATGAAGAAAAGGGGCATTCTAAATGTGGTGCTTTTAGAATATTGACATTACTACTGATTCTAAGAATTTGGGGACTACTGAAAATGCTGAGCAAATACATAAGCTGTCATTTTAGTTACGAGCTTTGCTCTTGGCAAACAAAAAAAAAAATCTCAGGTGTGAATTATCAAGCTCTGTATGAAACAGATATTTCTTTAGTTTAAAAATGAAGAGTCTTGGGCGCCTGGGTGGCTCAGTTGGTTAAGCGACTGCCTTCGGCTCAGGTCATGATCCTGGAGTCCCGGGATCGAGTCCCACATCAGGCTCCCTGCTCAGCAGGGAGTCTGCTTCTCCCTCTGACCCTCTTCCCTCTTGTGCTCTCTATCTCTCATTCTCTCTCTCTCAA